CCCCCCCCCCAGCCCCGCCCCAGCCCCGCCCTAGCTGGCTGCTGCACCTGCCAGGCCTGATCCTGTAGCGGGGGCCTGTGTTGGCTGCCCCCACAGAGACCAGCACAGCGCTCAGGTCTGCCCTGATCCCCTCCTGGAGGGGGTGCTCTTGTGAGGGCAGAGAACACTTCTGTCCTCCCAAACAAACTCTTCTCAAATAGCAGTAAACATCTTAACCTGCTTACAAGCAACCTCCAAGGGATGAAGGCAGAGCAGGGCAGGACACGGGATATGCCGCAGGGTTACAGGCCCCTGAAGGCTACCCGGTGTGCGTATACACGGCAAGAGGGATAAACGCAAACATTGGCCCTGCCTGGGGACCCGGCAGGGGGAAAGGCATTGCCACACGCCGCTGGCATGTAATAGACACACAAGGGGAGTGCATGTTAACCGCGAAACTATGCAGCCACGGAACTGTGCTGCGATCTGCTCTCCAGCAGTAACTTTGGAGTCTGACTTCCTTGGCTGCCTGTGAGTAGGCCCCAGCAGAGCTCAAAGCCGCTCACGCCCACCCCTCCCGCCCACACATGCCTCAAAGTCCACTCACTTGGTGGCTTCTTGCTGGAGCTCCTCAATTTGCTTCTTGAGCACCTCGTTGGCCTCTGTAAGAGCTACCATCTGCTCTTTATCAAACTGCAAAGACTTCAGAAGAAGAGAGGAAAAGACGAAGTGAGGAGACCAAACCTTCCCTGGGCGGCCTGACTCCCGGGACCAGCCTCCTTGAGGGCAAATGGTGCCGTTTCAGGGCCACCCTCAAGGACAAGGGCCCTGAAGAGGACCCTGACAGACAGGGTTTGCCCTTCGTATAAACGACTGCTTTAGAAAGGTCCAGGGTGCTGGAGGGAGTGCCTGGGAAGGACCGAAGGCTGGGGTGGAACCCTCTGGGATGCAGCCCTCACCCACGGTCCCCAAGGACCACTGCTGCCCGAGCCCCCCAGGCTCCTCTAGGCCCCCCAGCACCCGCAGGACTGAACTACAGACGGATGATGGCCTCCAGCCTCACGCTGCCTCCCACCTCACTGGCTGCCCTTTCTCATTTCTTTCTGTGCGGTGAGAACCGCCTCCCAGGACAGGCTGGGTCCCCCACAGCCCCAAGCACCTCAAGGAACACGTGACCTGGGTGCTGCAGGTGTTACCCCCCAGGTCCCCGGCTCCTGGTGGCTCCTCTCGTGCCCCCTTCTCCCATCTGCACCTGCCAGGCCCAGCCTGCAGCCTCACCCAGTCTGCCCACCTGGGTCCCACCTGGCCATCCAGTGGGACCTGGGAGACATCCCACAGGACGGAGCCCTTGGTCTCCCCCGGCTGTTCTGTCACCCTCTCATCTCAGGAAACACTCATCTGCAGGACAGGAGTCTGGACCGGGGTCCTTTTGCCTCCACACTCACCTCCCGTGGACCACAGGGCCCCTCACATGTCACCAGCCCCCTCCCCCGAAAGCCTAGAGCTCACAGAGCTGCTGTGGCGTCACCAGCCAGCCCCGCGCCTCCTCCCACGTCGTGTCCCCCACACAGGGCTCCCGGCTTCCTGCCCGCCTCAGACTCTCCCTCGGCTCTCCCAATGCCAGTTCCCAGAGGCCGGGCCTCGCCCGTCCCTTCTTCTGTCCATCTATCCCTCCAGGACAGGGGCTCCAGGCGGGACTGGTTCCAGGCTGTCCTGCCCTCTACCCGGACACAACACACCCCTGGGCACATCTGGCTGAATTTCCGGACCTGTAAGTGCGTCTCCATCTCGTCGCGCTCCCTCTGCACCGCCTGCAGATGCCCCTCGAGGTCGGCCATCTGCTGACGGACTTGGGACACTTCCTTCTGCAGGCGCACATGCTCCACATCCACGGACTTCTTCTCCCCTTGAACTTTAATTAACTCTTGCCTCAGTTCCTTCAGCTCTGAGTCCAGCCTCTTCTTCGTGGCCTTGAGCTCACCAATGAGCTGGTCCTTGGAGGTGGCATCCCGCCGGTAGGCCTCCACCATCACCTGCCCGAGGAGACAGAAGCTGCAGCCGGGACAAGGCAGGGTCTTGGGGCTCACGCGGCTTCAACCAAAGTGCTCACCACTCGTCCACAGCATAACGCCTCTTGGACCACAGAGAACACATCCCACCAAGTCCAGGACACCATCAACTGAGGCACAGCATCGTGTCACACGCCTAAACACATCTGGGTGATGTGCACAGCAGGGGTCGCCTGGAGGCTTCACCTTCCTCAGGCCCCAGGCTCCTGATGGGCCCTCCCCCCACCTGCATCTCGGCACAACATCCAGCACCACTTCTAACTGTCCCTCAGGTCGCTTTTCCCCAAACCCTTGGTGTCGGCCACACTTCACACTCATCCTCCGACAGCCTCCATCAGCTTTGTGGACACAGAACGTGCGTCCCCACCCTCTGCGCCAACCAGGGCTCCCTTCGGCGCCACATCAGGGCAGAACTTTCTCACAGACACGTTAACAGAAGAGTCTGTCTGTGCTGCAGCAAAGCACACGCCCTCTGACGTGACGGCAGAGTGGGATCGTGTCACAGATGCCGACGACCCCACTCTGAAGCCACATCCCGACCTGAGACATTAAAATACAAGAGGTGAGGCTGTCGCTTGGAATCAGCATCTTTAAACAGCATGGCAGGGGCCTAGGTGTCGCCTTCTTCTTGACCGGTCTTGTTCTACGCAAGTGATTGAACCACACGGGACCTTTCTCCACACTTACTGCACACGAAGAAAACCGACAACACGTTTTTACCTTTTGTTGAAGAAACTGCTCTTTGACTTTCTGCGTCTGCTTTCTCAGAGTGGCAGCTTCCTGCTGCAGGTGCCCCACCTACAAAGGACACGCGTGCCCACACGTTACATTGTGGGAGCTCTGTTCCCCGCGCTGGCTTGACTCTGGGTCCGTGTGTCAGGACACCCACCTCCACGGCTGGAGAGACAGCCTCCCGGGGGACGGGGAGGCCAGCCACCAACCCACCTCCCACCTCCGTTTTCAGGACAGTGTCTCTGTCCACAGGGTTGCCACCAGAGACCCCACAACAATACAGGCAAAGCTCAAATGGGATGCGGAGCGCCTCCGGGGTCCGCTGGCATCCCTCTTACCGAGCCAACAGTAAAACCACATTCAGACCCACCCAGAAGGTCCCTGACAAGTGAGCGGCCCAGGGTAGTGTTCGCAGGGGAAACACGGGCTCCTTTCACTCTACTTCCCAGAGGAAAACCTCCACTAGTTTCCTCGCGCCGGATGCTCGGGGGTGGTGGTCTGAAGGCAAACCGTTCCCGGACACTAACTATTGCTTTACACCCCGCAGTCCTCCTGTTCCGCGTGCGAATGTCTGCCTGGGTCGGGTCACGTCACAACGTCACGCTGTCAGCACAATGGCCCCCAAAGCGGCGAGCCGGCTCGTGTCCACACCTGCCCCTCTGTCTCCCGCCCTGACCCACTGACACACGACCGTCCCACCACGTGTCCAGCAGGCCCCACCACAGGCATACAGCAGGGAAGATCCAAACGTTCCACATAACTTTTCCCGCGTCTGAGCTCTACGTCACCTGCAGACAGACGCTGGGGTTTCTTGGGAGCTTACTGTCCACACCCCACACGTGACTCGCTTTCCCAGCCCCGGGCATCTACGTTGCCCGTAGTCAACGGGATGGGAAGCATGTGACCTGCAGGCGTGGGTCCCTCCCCGGCAAGCGCTCTTCCGCGTTTCCACAACCAGGCGATCAAAGACGGGACGGGACAACTGCCCTGGTTCTCACACGTGTGGCCTCCGCTCCTAACGAAACGACAGTGAGCGCAGTACCTGGCTGGACTTGACGGCCAACTCCTGTCTCAGCTGCTCCAGAACCTGTGACGTCTCCTCGGCGCCCTCTGCCAGGCGCTGCGCTCCCCTGTCCAGCCCCTCCCCGCTGCTCCGGGCCGCCTGCAGGGCCACCTCCAAGACAATCTTCTCGTTCTGCAGGGAGCGGATCGCGTCGTCCCTGGAGGCGGCCTCCTCCTGCAGCTCCTCCAGCCGGGCCTGCAGCTCGTCGTAGCGCACCTGCACGTCACCCAGGGTGCGCTCCCGGGCCTGCAGCTCCTCCTGCGCACAGGTGAGCTGCTTTAGCAGGTCGAGGTGCTCCTGCCGCAGGGCCTCAAGCTGCTGGTCTCGCTGCTGTAGCGCCAGCTTCATCTGGAAGACAGGAACCAGGGTCAGCGTCCTGCCCCGGAATGAGAACGCCACCCGGCCCCCTCCCCCCGCCGCCCAGCGCACGGACACAAAGTGCTGGTATGTGCGGGGGACACCCGGCCGGCATGGCGACGGCGGCTGCTCTGATGTGACATCACAACGAGTCCAAAGGACACACCGCACAGACAGGCACCGCGAGGACGGCCGTGTGTGGCACCGGGGCGTCCCCACGAGGCCACGGAGGGCTTGCCTGCTCCAGCTGCTGCTCGAGGGATGCGGCCGCGGCCGCCACCTTCTGCAGCTGCTCCTTCTCGCCCTCGAACTCCTCCAGCCTCCGCTGCAGATCCTCCTCCACCATCGTCTTGGCCTCTTGAATCTGCGCAAAGGCAGCCTCCTGGTCCAACATGTCGGCCTGAGCACAGGAAACCATGCTGTTTAAAGAGCAGGAAGACCCGCCACCCTGGGGAGAGGCCCTTGTCTGTCACCATCACGTCCCCAACCCGCAGGCAGAGGAGCCTGGGGCCAGAGGGGCCAAAGGCTGGTGACCTCCGGCCGTCCAGTCCACTCTGCTGACCCTTGGGACCGGCTGAGGGAGAAGCCAGCAGGCAACCCAGGTTTAAGAAATGGGACGAACCGGGGTGCCCGGCTGACTCTTGACCCCAGGGTTGTGCGTTTGAGCCCTGGGTTGGGTGCTGAGATGACTTAAAGCTTAAAAAAAAAAAAAAAGAAAAAGAAATAGGATAAAGTGCTGAACGACACCCCCATGGCTGCCTCTGCCGTGAAGACAGGCTGCAAGGTGTCCCTGCTTTGGGGATGTGCCACTGGGAACACTGTCACTGAGCTGGTAAAACCAGACCGAGGCTGGGGGACAAGTACGGATGGAGTTCTTTACAATTTGCTTACGCAGATAAGATCCAACACCTACGTATGTTTCCCGAGGAAAAATGTCAGCTTCTAACTTAAATGTTTCCAGGTCTTTGGCACCAGGCCATGACGCGATTCTCTTCTGTCACCCGCCTCACCCGTGAGGACACGGGGGCATGCGCGGAGAAGCAGGAGGGGGCGAGCGCCAGTCACGGGACGCTGACTTTCCACATCCCCAGCACAGAAGCGCCAGGCCACACGCTGCCCAGACCTTGTGCACCTTCCTTCCTTCTTCCCAACAAGCCTACTGAGCAGGTGTCACCGTCCTCATCTCATAAATCAAGGGAACAAGGCTCAGAGAGGATAAGAAATGGTACAGGGTCTCACAGCTAAGGAGAACAGGTCAGAGCTACTGCCCCCACTGCCCTGGAAACAATCTGCAGGTCCAACTGGCCACGTCCTAAGTCGCTCGTGTGCTTGCTGGGGGGCCAACGGAAACACAAGCTGAGTGCTCAGAGACAGGAAATGCTTACCACTGCGAGGCTGTCAGAGACACGGCATCTCAGAGACACACACACTAGCCTCCTCCTGCCCACCTGCTAGCCAGCACCTTCCCAACCGAGGGGCCGAGTGCAGGGCTCCAGGCCCACACAGTTAGTGGAAGATAAGTCACTGCCGGCAACTCAGATCAGACATTCGGATGCGTTTCCAGTGATGTGAGGAACAGAACTGCCAAACCCTGAATCACTGTCACTTGTCCAAAAGGTTAGTTTAATAGACATCTGAATGGATAGAGTATTAGTGTTTACGCACACACATCTGTAAGTTTTCTCAACCTTGACGAGTGCCGCAGCGTGAAAAGAGCAAGCCCAGGGCTGCCTGGCCCTCACCTCGATGCCCTGGAGCTGAATGGCAATGCGTTCCTTCTCCTTGATGGATCTGTGCTGGGTTTCCGTCAGCTGGTGGGACAGGGACACGTTCTCAAGTTTCAGGTGCTCCAGGAGGCCTGCCTGGGTCATCTGTCCAACCTTCAGAGAAAAATTCCACAAGGTAGAAAGTGGCTAGATTCCAGACACAAGCACAGCCCGGCCCACCCCAGAGGCCATGAAAGTGAGGGTCCTATCCAGTGACAACCGCAGGGGAAACTGTTCCCCAGGACCCTGCTACACAGGGCTCACTGCCCACCCTCCTGTCACCCATCCTGACACTGGGGCTGTCTGTGTGTGCCGAAGAGGGGCAGGCTGGCAGCCCGGAGGCCAGTGGTCAATACCCCCAAGGCTACATACGCACTTTGTAGCAAAACCTACACAGAAGTTCCTGCTGAAGGTATTATCTGAGGACCCTCAAGGTGAGGGCTCTCACCTGGATGGCAGGGACAGCAGCGGCTGGAATTTGCCCCAAAAATGACCTGTCCAACTATGACCGGCCACATCTCACTCCTTGGCCTCTCAGTGCCTAACTGTCGCCAGGCTGACCCTGGCCATTCCCAGGAAGCAATCCAGCCTGGGGTCAGACCCTGGCTGTCACAGACTATTAGACCTCCTTTGACCCACCACCTCTTACAGAGAAGGTGCCCAGCTTTACAGCACAGTGTGCCAGCCCCAAGAGGGGGCTCGGTAAAGAGAAGCCAGGGGACACGGCTCTGTGACCGCACCTTCGAGCACGTTACTTCCAGATACAAGGTGAACACTCGTTGACACTGTGAGATGCCACATGTGACAAGTTGTGAATTTTGGGGTCTCAATGGAAGCTACTCAGAACAGGAGAAGGTACCATTTGCTGGGACTGTGTTTTGTTTTGTTTTGTAAGTTTCCTTATTTCAAGGCATCCCTACACCACACGTGGGGCTCAACACATAACTCCAAAATCAACAGTCGCATGCACTTCCAGCCGAGCTGGTCGGGTGCCCCTGCTGGGACTTGTGTTTTAAGGCAACAACAGAATAAAAGCCACTCTGCTCTGTGCTGCCTCCTGAATGTGCCTGGCAATACTTCTGTGTTACCAGGGAAAGAGAGAGAAAACGTCCTCACCTAATCAGGAAGGCGGATCCCGGAATCTGGAGGTGCCTGAGAAAGTCAGGTACAGCTGACTCTCCTCCCCAGAGCCCCTCCTCCACTCTGCCCTCCAACTTCATTTCTGACTCGGGGCAAGACACACAAATGTAGCTTCCTTAACTGTTTCGTGTCTCATGTAAAGGCACCATCACTGCAAGCTTGCGTTAACGTGCATGGTGATTTATTTCCAAGTATGTTGGAAGTAGAACAAATATGTACCTGCGGGGTCCTTTAGCTTGTAACATACGTAACAAATTTAAGAACGTTTCTATTTCATATATCTGCAGACTGTAGATTTTTTTTTTTTTCAACGTTTATTTATTTTTGGGACAGAGAGAGACAGAGCATGAATGGGGGAGGGGCAGAGAGAGGGAGACACAGAATCAGAAACAGGCTCCAGGCTCTGGGAGCCGCCAGCCTAGGAGCCTGACGCTGCCTCGGCAACCACGGACCGCTGCAGATCGCGGGACCTGCTGGAAGTCGACACTTAACTTACTGCGCCACCCAGGCGCCCCTGTAGATTTTTTTTAATGTTTATTCATTTTTGAAGGAGAGTGGGGGGGGGGGCTGGGCAGAGAGGGAGACACAGAATCCAAAGCAGGCTCCAGACTCCAAGCTGTCAGCACAAAGCCCAACGTGGGGCTTGGAACCTACAAAACTAATGCATATCGCGGACCTAAGTCAAGTCGGATGCTCAATTTGACTGAGAGCCACCCAGGTGGCCCCCCGTAGATTTTTTTAAGTTTATTTACTCATTTTGAGAAGGAGAGAGAGTGTGCAAGTTGGGGAGGGGCAGACAGAAAGAAAGAGAGAGAGAGAGAGAGAGAGAGAGAGAGAGAGAGGATCCGAAGCAGGCTCTGCATGGTCAGGCCGGGGTACCTGATGCAGGGCTCAAACTCAAAGACCATGACATCATGACCAGAGCTGAAGTTGTATGCTCAACCACTGAGCCACCCAGGTGCCCCTAGATTTTGTTTTTTATGTTTATTTATTTGTTTTGAGATAGCGAAGCAGGGGAGGGACAGAGAGAGAGGAAGACACAGAATCCAGGCTCCAGGCTCCGAGCTGTCAGCACAGAGCCTGACGCGGGGCTCAAACTCACGGACCGTGAGATCATGACCTGAGCCAAAGTCGGACGCTCAACCAACTGAACCACCCCAGCGCCCCTAGATTTTATTTTTTAAAAGAGCATTTAGTGGAGTTAGTATTTTATATCTTCTACCTGAGAATTAAAGTTTTAGTTAGTCTATAATATTTCATCCGAACAAAGAAAACCAAAGGGAGAGAGAGCAAAACCCATGTCTGCATTCAAGAAGAAGACAGAGGCTGACCAAAGCACCACTCAGCACCCTCCTAATCAACCTAATTAGTCCAAGGCCCCAAGACTTGGAGCAAAGTGCCTTTCAGCCACTTGCCTGTCATCCTGACCGCCTCTGGAGCGCGATGAGCCCAGAGAAAGGGGCCTTGAGGGAAAGTGCAGAGACCAGCATTCCTCTGCAGCCTGGACAGACACCTGCCCTCCCCACCCCCCAGAATCCGAGGCTGACACGCCTGCACCCCAACAAAATGGAGGGCAGTGGGAGAGCTCATGCTGCAAAGACCTGGTGGTCAAGGAGCTGGAGCAGAGACCAGCTCCAACCAGGAAGGGGATGCACACTGTGCCCCTTGTGTGTCAGAAACCACGTCCCAGGAGGGCAGCGACCAGGGCCCAGAGCTGGTGCCAGAGTCCCCAGACCCGGGCAGACGTGGGTCTGAGAGCTGGGTTCAAACCACTACAGGCGCCCCCCAGGGGGGGCTCGTCACAGAACGAAAAGTGATGCAGCAGAAGCTGTAAGACCCCTTGTGTCAGAAGGTCACGGACAGCGGCTGCTCCGCAGGCTGGAGAAGAAGCTAAATGAGCGGCGAGCAGACTTTCCCTAAAGGCAACCGTGAGACCTGAAAACAGAAGGACTTAATTTAGGGAAATGGCCAGGGTCCCACACGAGACACGTCCGGGGCCGTACCTGGATGTGGGCCATCTCGCCCTGCAGTCGGACCCGGGCCTCCTGCGCCAGGGCGAGCTGCTGCTGGTACCACTGCCGCACGTGCTGCAGAGACGCGATCTCGGCCTGGGACGCCTTCAACTTGCTGCTCAGCGTGGTCCGCTCCAGCTGCACCTGCTGTAGCTGGCTCTGCAGGCCCGTCATCTGCTGTCGCAGGTCGTGCACTGAAGGCAAGCACAGCAGCTCAGGGCACCCACTCCTCAGGAGCCCGCAGCTCCGCACCGACGCCCCACGCAGACTCGGTGTCTCCCCACGGACGCCCCACACGGTGTCCGTCTCTCCACACGGACGCCCCACGCAGACTCAGTGTCTCTGCAGAGGTCACACTGCAGTTGTGGATGCTGAACCGTGGCTCCCAGAGAAATACAGGAGTGAACAGATCAATATACAACCTTGTCTCGTGAGCTTGTGTACAAAGGCATTTTACTTAATCTGTACTTTTGGCCCATCAATACTGAACTCACAGCCAACGGCACCGTAATTCATGCCCGAAGGAAGCTCACCGAACACACGGAACTTCCTCCGTGAGACACGTCACAGACGTCTCACACTTAAGAGCACAAGATAGTGCTTGGACTTCGCTTTAAATACAAAACCTCCCTACAAAGCACAAAGACGCAGAGGCTCTGACACTAGACCGGACAAGGGCACCCGCTCACACAGGAGAGCGGAGCACCGCCTCATCCCCTCAGCGGGAAGCGTGAATGTCAAGCGGCACCAGCCGTGCTCAGCGCTGCACCTGCCTGCGAGGGACTGTCCTGCTTCAGGGTTACCGACAAATCTGAGTGTGCCCGTGAACGCATAACTACAGACCTGTGGGTACCGAGGGCCAACTGCGTGCCCGCAAAGCCACTGTGGGTGCCCAGGCGGCACCTGGTATCGTGCTAATTGCACCAAAACCCGGTTCACTGACGTGGTCACCTCTTGCCACTGATGAGGGCAGAGTGGGAGGAAAGGGGGCAGGAAGTCACAGATGACCTAAATCACAGTGCAAACCAAAGTGGCCAAATATTAAGAAAAACACCTACCATTCTAAAGACAGTTCCCAAAAATTAAAAAACAAACAAAAAACCATCTCAGTTTAAGAGGATCCACGACCTCTTATCTGAAATTCTTGGGGCCTGATGTGTTTCAGAGTTCAGATTGCCAGCACCTCAGAAAGGCGACCCCAGCGAGAACCACAGGAGACACGCCGTCAGCTCCACGAGGGCGTCCACACCGCACTGCGGCCCTGTGTGAGTGCGGTCAGTGCCGCTGCCCGACGGGCTTTGGTCATCAGGCCCCGCAACCCAGACTTAACAATTATCTTGGTGCTCAGAACTTCCCGGATTTTATAATTTTCTTAAGGGACTGCGTATCGGGAAATGCCCAAAGACTGAAAACAGTCTATGGCGTGTTTCTCAGCCGAGCAGTTTCTTGTTTCTGGTGCCAGAAAAGTCTGTCACAGCAGTCTGTCACTCTTTGTTTTCTGTCATCACATCTGAAGCCCCATCTCACGGCCTTGCGGCCCTCCAGAGCAGCCCCCCAAGCCACCCCTCTGTTCTGCGAGAGGAACCCCGTCTGCCTGGCCCGCACCAGAGGCTGTGCGGTCTGGGCCAACCGTGGCTCTCCGCTGCCCCCTGCCCTGCCCCTCCTCCTCCTGTCAGCCAGCACGGAGGTGCTACGAGCACGCGGGCGGTGCTGGGCGCCCAGCGGGGCGTGCAGCACACGCCCCGGGAGGAGAAGACGGCGCGAGGACAGGGCTACAACAGGTTCTCTGTGCACAGCCTGCCGCCACGTCCCTCGACACCAGCGTCCCACTTGTCTCTCCCTCCAGAGGGGACTCCCACAGGGATCCACCACCGCCAAAAGCTGCACTTAAAGTAGGAAATACAAAGGTTTACTCATCAACAGTGTCGGCTTTCAATCTTTTAAGCACAACCTGCCATTCTCAGGAAAAAGCGAGCAGCGCCAGCCCCCGCACGACAGGCTTTGAAGGCAGAGCAAGGTAGTAACGTTACTACCAACTAGCAAGGGTCTGGAGTTCGTTTCCAAGACCTGAGTCCACTCCGCCCCCCACCTGCCGCGCTCACCTGTGTTGTCCTTGCTGAGGATGCTCCTCTGCATCTCTTCCACCTTGGCCACGAGTCGCTGGTACTGCTCCTCGGCCAGCTGCAGGTCGCTGTTGGACGATGCCAGGCTGGCGTTCTTGGCTTCCAGCATGTTCTGCAGGTCAGTCATTGCTCGCTCCAGGTCCCAGCAAGACTGCTTCAAGGTGTCCACCTCCGAACTGAGCGAGTCCTGCTTCTGCTGGCTGCTGTGGCTCTGCTCCACCTGCGCCTGCAGCCTCGTGCTCAGGGCGGCCAGCTGCGCCTGGAGCTCCGCCTTCTCTTTAAGTGCCTGGACAGACCCCCAACCGGAAAGCGACTCTCAGACGAGCCACTGCCGCCCGTGCGTTAAGAGCGCCACCAAGAGGAGCCGGGGAGACTCAGAGGGAAGCACTGTGTCTCCCGGGCTCGCAGCTGCTCTCGCACCAACCGCTCTCCCGGGAGGAGGCAGGTCCTCCACACAGGCCCGAGGGGCAGGAGGGGTGACCAGAGCCGCTCATGCTCTGCGCAGCAGCGCCCGGGCTGTGCGAGCACCCGCTCACCCATGAGGACGTTGGAAAACACATTTGTTCAAAAAAGAAACGAGTGCAGCACTGCGCACACGCGCACACCCCAAGAAAGAACACCAGGCGTGCTGAGGGAGCCCCACAACAAGTGCCGTCAGATTCAGGTCTGGGACCGTGCCTCCCGGGAAAGGCCCCCTGCTACTGCGCACGAGGGGCTCTGAGGGGCTCCAGCCGGAGCCGCTGGGCACGGGGCAGCCCGAGGCCCGGCCCGGCGCCGGGTGGCGGCACCGCAGGGACACGGTCGGTAGGACCAAGGGGGAGTGAGCGGGAGGTGGGGCCTCCACGAGCAGAGGCCTTCGGGCAGCAGAGAACGTCTGAGAGACGGCGGGAAGGCACGTGCCCTGTCTGCCATCAGCATCTCCCGCCCACCCAAAAATCCATCTGTGAGGCGTGTGGACGGGAATCCCAAAGCGCAAAGACGGGCAGACAGATGCACATCAACACGCGTGAGGGGAAAACCAACATGAGGAAGACGAACATCAAATTCAGCAAACGGGATGACAAATACCCCAAAAATCCAGTTAGGTGAGCAAACACAATGAGATTTTGCAATAACAACAACTTGGATTTTAACAGGGAGGCCAGAAAGGATCACACCCGCCACAATCCACACAACTCAAGAGCCAGTCAGTATCCTAGGAGGAAAAGAAGGTAAAGTAAAATAAACACAAGCAAAGGTTCCTACATCACTCGTGGGCCGGAGGTGCAAATGAAGCAGAAATGCGCTGGATGAGGTTCTATGGGGACAGTGACAACCATGAGCCACCACAATTCACCTTGAAATCTCAGCAACCACCGCCAGGTTTACGTGCACAGAGGGGTCGGTCTGCGTCCCTGGACCACGCCATTCAACAAACCACACCAGGCTCGAGAGGAAGCTACTCCCGCCACGAGCCGCTGCCCCACACCCTGTGCTGGGACGCGCTCCTGAAGGACACCCATGCTGCCGCGACACTGCCTCTTTGCCCGTGTGTCCCCTGCTCCCCACACCAAATGGACACAGCTGAATTCAACTCAACAGATTTACCCCACTTGCCAAGGAAAACTGAAAATTAAGGGGCAGAAATGGTTTTCAGGAGTAGACTGAACAGATACAGCAAAGCTCACATCAGAAAAGACAGAACCCGCAGCAGAAAGTGTTAAAGCGGCAAAGATGACACTTTTACCAGTGTCTTTTACGGTGAGACCCACCAACGGGACCGTCAGGCCCGCATCCCAGAGTCAGGACCAGACATACAGGGAGACACCGAGCCACGCAGGCGGACAAAGGGTGAGGACACAGAGGACTGAGCACCCAGCCCGCAGGCCGCGCACATGCGCCCCGAAGCCGTGGCGCCTTCCCGGCCTCCAGCGTCCGTTACCTGACTGGCCTCTAAAGACAACGCCTCCAGCTGACCCTCGAGTCTCATCTTGTCTTTCAGGGCCTGCAGCACTGCGTCGTGGGTCTCCGCAGCGGAGCTTTCCAGGGACACGCTGGGGGACAAAGGCACAGAGCATCAGGCGCCAGTTCTCCTCACGCATCCAGAGTCTCTGGGCTCCCCACACCGCCGCTCCAGTCCCCGCCACATTATAAACACAGTTAGAAGGTTTCAGGGGACCACTAACGCTCTTACAAACGCTCCCAAGAAACCCTCCGGGGAGCTGGTCAGCCCAGGGAAGTATCCGTGCAGCTTTAGACACGAGTCTACGTAAATACTGGAAACAGCATCCCTTAACACTGGACGCGGTTCCTGACCTGCTCCCACGTCTTACAGAACGACAGAGTTGTGTAGACAGAAACGTTACACACTCAGGACGTGACGAGGAGAAACCCAGCACCGCCGGTCGGCTCTGGCGGTGGAGGGAGCACCCACCTGCTGCAGATGCTGTCTGTCCGGCTGCGCGTCTCCCCATTGACCTCCCGTCCCTGGTCCTGGTGCTCGGCCGCCGCAGCCTGGAGGACATCCGTGATGGAGGGGAACTGGCCCAGGGCAGCGGCGGCGATCTCCTGGCCGTTGACCACGTAGGAAGCGTCGCGAGTGCCCACGGGGTCCACCAGAAGCCCGCGCGTCCCACGGGTAGACACGCTGCTGAGGGAGGAACTATCGCTCTCGTTCCCGTCAGCCTCGGACGTGTTGTCGCCCGTCAGGGACGCGTTCTCCAGGTGGTCCTCGGCCTCAGGACACGGGCTGACCTCGGACACTACTGATGTCACGCTGCTCCGGCTCTGCTTCAGGGCGCCCCCGGCAGCGTCTGCAGCCGGAGCGTTCCCACCACAGCTCCCGGCACTGGAGTCTTCAGTTTTGTAATCGGCCAGAGACCGGATTTTGCTTGGTTTGGAACTTCTTTTCCCCTTGGGATGCGCCAGGAGCCCCAGGCTGCCCACCTTCGGCCCTCGGGGGACACTGGTGCGCAGGAAGGAGTACTCCTTTGTCAGAGCCACCGGGTTGGCACGGGGCAGGGCCTCCGGGTTCAGCATGAGCTCCGGGTCGAGCGTGCTGGACAGTCGTGCTCTGGCCGCAGGCTGACTGCACTGGGGAGGAAACCAAAGTACAGAAATCACGTCTACGAGTGACAGCAGCGTTCAAACCTCGCGGCCCGAAAGGCTGCACCGGCCACCCTCCCTGCTCCAGCCCTGGGCACACGCCCCGCACGACCAGGACCGTGCAGCATCCCTACGTATCCGGCAGGCAGGGCCTTACAAAGCTGTCCCGTCAGCCCGGCGCACGCACTCTTCTCGACAGGCTCAACCACGTCCAGATCCAAAGCGGCCCTGCTGGGTCACAGCCACCTGAGATGTACGATGGCTCAGGGGCTAAGGAGCCGCACTTCCAGTTATGCAAACCTGCTCGCGCCGGACTGCTTGAGATTCCAAACCATTGCCATTTTATGTAATTCTTAGATATTTTATCATGCTGTTGCCGTAAATATTCTCTTTTCCCACTAATTTTATAACTAGCCATATTAGGCTAACTATTGATTTTTTATACTTGTATTTTAAACTGACGATTTTCTGAACCCTCATTATTTTAATAATTTAAAATACATTTTAAGGTTTATTTTATTTTTGAGGGGGGGGAGAGAGGGGGAGAGAGAGAGAGAGAAAGCACACATGCACAAGCAGGGGAGAGGCAGAGAGAGAGATGGGGGGGACAGAGGATCCGAAGGGGGCTTCACGCTGTCAGCACAGATCCCGACACGGGGCTCGAACTCACCAACTGTGAGATCATGACCTGAGCCGAAGTCAGATGCTCAACCTACTGAGCCACCCAGGTGCCCTTATTTTATAATATTTTAATATAATTTTTTCACTTGATTCTCTAGAGTTTTCCAAGGCATTATCAATACCTGCAAATAACATTTCTCCTCTTTTTCAATATTTATATCTCTTATTTCTTTTTGTTACATTATTACATCAGCTAGAACTTCCCTAACGGCTTTAAATGAGACAATGGATGACAGAAGATAGTGTTCCTTGATGCTATTTCAAAATGACTTTCTCTTAGAGACATAGCCAATCCTAGGTTTACTCTACAAAGTCAGTGCTATCCCAACAGGGCAGGGGGTCAAGGAAGAGAAAAGGAACCATCTCAAAATGATCCTGGGATGTGACGAGAAGAATACCAACTAGTGAGCAAAAATAGCTAAAAAAAGACGGGGCGCCTGGCGGCTCAGTCGGTTAAGCATACAACCTCAGCTCAGGTCTTAATCTCACAGCTCATGGGCTCGAGCCCGTGTCGGGCTCTGTGCTGGCAACGTGGAGCCTGCTTGGGATTCTCTCTCACTTCTCACTCTCTCTCCCCTCCCCCACCCATGCTTTCTCACTCTCTCAAAAATAAACTTTAAAAAAAAAAAAGAAAAATGAACAAAGACCGACATAGACACGCAAACAACTAACACGTAAAAGGTGCTCCCCGACAGGAGGTACTGTTGTTTTCACCTGTCGGAGGATAAAAGCTCAGTGTTTGTTGTTTTAACGTTGCCAAGGATGGCCAACACTCGCAGTCTCATCCCTGTTAACGGGGGTATAAACCAGTCCAGCCTATCCAGAGCACACTGAATATCCAACTAACAAATACATAAAGCCTTTTCCCAATAATGTGAAAGTCAACGATTTGCCCACAAGAATATACCAAGACGCAAAATGTTCACTGTGGCATTGTTTGCAATTTCAAAAATGTAGCAACAACCGGAATGCTGACCACGAGCTTGGTTAAGGAAATGCGGGTAGACTACTGCATAGGGTGAGGCGGTCCCCACTCTGCACTCAGGACACAGGGAGGAAGGCAGCATGGAGAACTTCTCATCATCTACGCCATGTGAGGATGACGTCTGAACTACGTTCCTCACATAAACGAAATGTTCCTAAAGAAATACCCTGTTTCTCCTTCAGGAGTTTTTGTTCACTTGTTTTGCGTATTTTGACTTTTCACAAACACCTTTTCAGCAGCTACTGAGATGATCCTAGGCCCCTTCACGTGGACCTACCCCCATAACCCATGATGAGGTCTGGCAGATTCTCCCAGTCTGAACCAACCTCAAAACACCTCTCCTGCAGTCATGGATACGCAGACAGGTGGTGCTGACTGGTCGTGAGCACGTCACACGCCGCACACACGGGCCTCTGCACTCACACAGGCAGCCGCGGACCCCAGTGCAGCCAGACATTCAGCTCCAAGCTTCGGTGACAGCCGTGCGGCGCCAGGCCGTGGGGACTGACTGAGACTCCGGTCCTCACACCGGACCGTGCCTCCCCAGGCTGCATTCTGCCCCAGCTGGCCCTGCCCCAGCATCTTGCAGCCACCCTGCCTTCCTCGCTTCTGAGCAAGCAGAGATCGTAACTTGGTCAGACCAACATGTGACAGACACAATGCCTGTTCCCATCACTTTGAGAGCGGGTATGTTACTGAGGGCTAAGAAAGTATCCTTCCATGTAAAGTTATTATTTATTTAAGTAATCTCTACACCCAACATGGGACTCAAACTCATGACCCTGAGATCAAGAATCACATGCTCTTCTGACTGAGCCAGCCAGAAGCCCCCAAAAGTATCCTTCCATTTAAACCACCAGTTATGAGGCACCTGGGTGGCTCAGCTCGTTCAGCCATCTGATCCTCGGTTTCGGCTCAGGTCATGATCTCACAATTTGTGGCTCAAACCGCATGTTGGGCTCTGTGCTGACAGCTCAGAGCCTGGAGCCTGCTTGGGAGTCTCTCTCTCCCTCTCTGCCCCTCCCCCTTCACTCGTGTGTGTGTGTGTGTGTGTGTGTGTGTGTGTGTGTGTGTGTGTGTGTGTGTGTGTGTCAAAAAAAAAAAAACTTTTAAACCACCCGTGTTATGTGTATATTATGTAATTTTTTAAGTAATTTTAGTGATGCTAAATTTCACATTTAGAATCCTACACTGAACTCCTAACATATTAATCACCTAATGTTGCATGAAACCACACAGGCCTCTAGAAGATAGAGCGTGGACAGGACCTTCAGAAGGGGAGTGTGGATGGGCTCTGGGAGACAGTGTGGATGGGTCCTAGGAGGGAGAGTGTGGATGGTCCCAGGAGGGAGAGTGTGGCTGGGTCCCAGGAGAGAGAGTGCAGACGAGCCCAGGGAGACAGTGTGGAGGGGTCCTGGGAGGGAGAGTGTAGACGGGCCCGGGAGGCAAAGTGTGGACGGGCCCTGGCCCACAGATGTTGTCTGGTCTACACCCGGACTCTCCTCTTCACCACTGAGTGACCCCTGACCGGCTCCTTACTATCCAAGCCTCAGGCTCCTCTTCTGTAGGGAACAGTACACAGTGCCGGGCATGTAGTGATTATTAACCACTCTTCCCGCTAACTTGTGGTGGGCCGCGTGGACGGACCTCTGGAAGCCCCTGACCAGGCAAAAGAGTCTGGTGCCGGCTCCTCTAACCCATTCACATTGGCTCTGGAGCAGTGACACCCACGAGGTCACAGTTCCCTCATGGGAAAACAGCCTGAGGGGGATGTGTCACCACTAAACCATCCACCTAAAGCATTTACAAAAGTTAGTTTCATTTTAATTTTGAATTCCTTTCATTTGAAACTCTCAAGTCCACAGAAAAGTTGGACAAAGTATGAAATGAACATTCAAACCCACCTGCCTGGAGTCACTTGATAGGACTAAAAAGACTGCTTTCATTAGCACACCAACAAGTCTTACGTGTGAATAAACCGACCTTAGTGTACCATACGATGTACTTATCGAATACGCATGACACAGCACGTATTCTAACACCAAAGGTCAGCAGAAACTACGTCACTCATCAAATACACAGCTGAAACCTAGGACTGGCTGCTCAAGTAGAAAGAATAATTATACTTGAGTACTTGCGGTCTCTGCTTTTCAAATGGCAGATATAGGAATAAAATATGCTTGTTCCAAGGGAGGAAGGGCCATATGTGGCAGGAGCCACAGTCTCCCCAAAGGGTGGGAACCGCAGACAGAAATGATCTTTCCAGAGAAGCACAGAAGGCCATCCCAGCACAGAGAAATAAATGACAGATCCTAGAAACTACATCTAATTACTGTTTTTCACACATGAAGTTTTCCATGAGCTTGTTCAAGACGGGAAGACTTGGGGCGCCTGGGTGGCTCAGTCAGTTGGGCATCCGACTCTGGATTTAAGCTCAGGTCATGATCCCAGGGTCGTGGGATAGAGCCCCGCGTCGGGCTCTGTGCTGGGCACAGAGCCTGCTTAGGATTCTCTGTCTCCCTCTGCTCCTCCCCCGCTCATGCCCTCTCTCACACACACACACAGACACACACACACAAGGAGACTCACTCTTTCCTGTTGGCGCTTCACCCTGTACTGTTTGAGCTGTTCTTCGAGCCGTCTCCGAGCCTGAAGTCGGACCTGCTCCTCCTTCTCCAGGGGCAGGGAAGCCTCTGTTGAACCTGCCGTGGAGGAACGACCACTTAGTGACTCGTGACGCATGAGGGCACAGAGGACAAACCAGAACAGTGGCTTGGCTGTTCCCATTCAACTACCAATTAAATATGATTTAGCTCCAAACAACACACAGCCGTCCAGTTTGAAAGAGCTATTTCCAGATGGAGACAATTGTGAGCTTCGGACACCGACCACAGACCAGATGTGCCCGGTCAAAGACTCACCGGTCGAGCACAGGGTCTGTGCTCACAGTTCCCTAGAGGCGTCCAGCTGGGAAAACGGACACAGGTCACCCATGGACTTGTAGTAACAAGATAAGTAAATCTGAAGTCGGTGCCAGAGCCGATGTTCTGAGGTTCAGGGACCCTCAGCTCCCACTTGGCTCCAACCATGCTTGTGACTTCACATAGGCGCCACAGAGAGCAGTGCCGATGAAGCGGGGCCCAGGGACGGGGGACATGAGCCACCCTGGCATGTGGCCACGGTCACCAGACATGCCTTCTTCACGTGGTTACATCTAGGGACACAATCTGACCCACAGCTTGTCTAAATCCCTACAGCGAGTCATGTTACAGTACAGTTTTGCAAAATCAGAAGGTTCTCATACAAGCAGTACTCAGAGGTTACTCACTAGGGAAAAGCACTGTCACAGGGACGCATTCGGGACTCACCTGAAAGTGAAGGCCACGCAGGTGTCCCTGCGAGGCCTGGGGCTGGTTACCTCAGTTTCCTGACAGAGGCGGCTCCAGGGCAGGGGCCATGCTCAAGGACAGAAAGGGAAATGACAACTTTTGGGGCCAACAACAGATTTTAAAATATCTCAAAATCCCAATCTTTTATTTTGGGTAATAAAAGGGCTGAATAGCAAGCAAAAGGCACAATGGCCCCAGGGTTCTTTCACACACAGCAGACGTGTAGACGTGTACACAGCACGCTGCCACGCGCACAGGCAGGGTTGGCTGCTGCGCTGATGAGAGCAGGAAAATGTCACAATTTAACCACTTTATAGACCGCATCATCTTCAGATGCGGATTCTGAGGAGATCAGCAGCCGTTGTCTTACATAATCCCTCAGACCTGAGCACAGGCCAAGAACATCGCTAGGAACTCATCGAGTTACCACTAATGTGTGTGTTTATCACCGAAAAGATCTAGTAGTTTTCACAAGGCTCAGGGGTCCATGTGGGAAACCCCTAGATGTCTATGGCCTCAAGCAGGGAGCCCCCAAGTCAGCAGACTGAGGGTCGGGTACACACTCACCAAGTGAGCACCTGGCATTAGGGCTCACAAATCCCTACGGTCAAGAATCCACACTTTTACATGGCATCTCTAGACTTTAGTGTTGACAGTTAAAATTTATTTTATTTTAAGTAAGCTCTATGCCCAACGTGAGGCTGGAACTCACAATCCCAAGATCAAGAGTTGCACACTTTGCAGACTGAGTCAGCCAGGCGCCTGCCCTAAATGTACAGAATTTTTATAAAGACGCTGCAGCCCTAGCAGAATAACGCCTGTGGAGAAAAGGGCAAACAATCCCAAAGAAAAATGGGCCAAACAAATCAGCAGACAATTCAGAGAAACGACCGAATGGCCAGCAGGTGAAGAGTGCCCGAGTGATCAGGGAAGCGTAAGGGGCACAGCCGCCCAGCCGGTGGCGAGAGTGACAGTAGGGCCTGTGCGTGCAGGGGGGGCCACGTCATCTCACGGTCGTCAGCGGCCACGGGCCTCCGCATGACGGAGGTAAAGACGCCCCCACCTCTGACCAGGAATTGCGCTCCTGGGACAGAGCCTACAGAAACTAAAGCGGCCACACCGTGCCCACGGGCGCCAGGGCGCTCTCGCCAGCGCCGGGGGTTCCGGCCGACGAACAGAAGTGGAGACCCACCCGGCCACGCACGGGGCCCCGACCAGCCTCAAAAGCAAGAACATGGAGTTGCATCAGACAACCTGGGGCGACCTCCACATAGCACTATGGAAAACACCGGATGCTACAATTGACTCCCTTTGTAAAAAACGATGACCGAAAACACCCGAAACCTGGCTGTTTAGAGACCCGTGAAGGGTCATGTGAGAATGTGGCTTACTTGGAGGGGAGGGAACGAGGTACTGAAGGGGAAGGAGAGGAAAAACAGCGTGTGTGGTACGATCCCTTTATGTAAAATTATGTATGTCTGTGGAGGAAAAACGCGTTGGAAAGAGGCCTGGACGTTTCTAGGGTTCACAGTCTGCCAGTTTGTGACCTGTTTGCCCCTGGGTCCCCAGGGGTAAGCACTCATTAAAATGATTCACAGAAGAAAGATTTTGAAGTTTAACTCCCCACTGACTGTCTGCTCACCGTCCAGCATAAGACATGCCGCGCACAGTCCCTCGAGCCCAGACCCTGAGCCACACCCTCAGCGTGACCACGAGGGAACGCTGCTTCTCTCCAAAATGGAGCTGCACGCAACACGCACAACCCACCACGGCGACAGACCGGTGGAGACAGAGGGACGAGCAGCGAGCGTGTCTGGAGGGTGGGGAGCGACGGGGGCGCCGCAGGAGGAAGGGGAGGGCAGGGAGGAGCCGGCGGGAACAGATGCTTACACAGTTGTGTTTCTTGCATAGGAAGACTGAGTCTGAGGGACTGCAAAGCTTCTTTTCTAACACTGCCCTCAGCACCAGTCCCCTGAGACTTCCTTAGGTTGTCATGGAAATCAGCCACACCTGCAGAGGCCTCGGGACCCAGTGGGCTCGTGGCAGGACCAAGAGGCGATGCAGGGTCTGGGAAGAGTGGCGTCGGCCCGTTCTGACAGGTGTCCCCCTTGCCAGGTCCATCCAGGCCTCGCCCTCCATCTGCAGCTCTATGGGCCTCGACACTGGCACCTGCAAGAGAGAGTGTGCTGAGACATCACAGTGTCAACCACGAGAGGCAGCTGCATTTCGGACATGCGGAGAAGACAGGACAGGAGAGCCTCTAGACTTGCGAGCACGAGCCATCTCCAATGTCCTAGGAGACCGTTCACTCTGGTGGCGGAGCAGGCCGGGCTCTCCTCACGTGGGTGTGGGGATCGGACAGCTGCTCGCCTGCCAGGGCCAGACACCCTCATCCGTGGACCACCCTCACCCTCCGCCCAGTGCTTGTGGAATTTAAGTAGTAATCTTCCTTCTCATTTAAACAATGAGGGACGCCTGGGGGGCTCAGTCGGTTAACCATCCGACTTTGGCTCAGGTTACGATCTCACGGTTTGTGGGTTTGAGCCCCATGTCGGGCTCTGT